GGGAGGGAAAGCCTTGGGGATCCGAGTCCTCCCGGGCCGCTCGACCCTCGTCCCCTCTGTTGGAGCGTGTGCTGGATCTGAGAGGTTGGCGCTTTGGAGAAACGCGTTTGTTCCGTTGTTGTCTTAAGTCATTATACGGGTAACGCGGCGGACCTAGTTCGAAAAGCGCATAAACCTTGGACGGTGGCACAGACGGGAGCTCAGCAACCGCTACAGAAGGAAAGATGCTGTGTTGAGAACCAGGTGCTGAGAGCTCAAAAGGCAGCTAGGGTGGGGGAAGGTTGGGCAAGCTGGTGTGGGAGAGAGCATTCCAGGCGCAGGTAATTGCGATTTACCTCCCTTTCACTGCGGCAAGCGCTTCAGATCAGGTGACTCCGATGGCGAGAGAGCAAGGGTTCCAGGCTGGTAAAGCACATTGAAGAGGACTTGTAGGGTGAACATGGATGCTACTTTGAAGAGTTTGCACATAATTCCACTGGCTGTGGAGCACCTTTGAGGGCCAGTGATTAGAAGAGTGATGTGATAAGCAGTATTTTAAGCAGTTCATAGATGTTACTTCTGTATTTTTTTTCTCCCGGTGGTGGTTTCATATATTTCCATGCGAAAGGGCATACACACATTTTCCCTCAGTTGTTTCTAAGATGAGGTCTTACTTCTAAATACCTAAGGGAAACAAATTAGCCCATTTCTTAGCTTGGGTTAATTGGCATTTTTTAAAAAGATTTTATTTATTTATTGGACAGAGATCAAAGGTAGGCAGAGAAGCAGGCAGAGAGAGAGGAGGAAGCAGGCTCCCCGCCGAGCAGAGAGCCCAATGCAGGGCTCGATCCCAGAACCCCAGGATCACGACCTGAGCCGAAGGCAGAGGCTTTAACCCACTGAGCCACCCAGGCGCCCCTTGACATTTGGTTTAATCAAATATCTGGACACCCCACAATGATTACCTTAATATTTGTTCAGCACATTCCAGAGGAGTCTGAAGCATCTGTCACCTCCTGTTCTCACTTCCCGCTGGCAAGGCGACTGCCCCCAGATTATGCCAGTCAGTCCTGGAGATTTGAATTGTTGCTTTAGGAAAATCTGCAGCTGCAATGACTTTCTGTTGATACAACTCATGAAGACTTAAAATTACTGTGTCACTCACCAGTGTGACATCAGATCAGCTGCCCCCTGGATTCCTGCACCTGTTTCTCTACAAGACTCTAGACATATTGTTCAAAAGTCTCTTGACATGTTTTTGAGACTAAAATGTTTGTCTAGGTGGCTTGGTGGTTTAAATTCAGAGTGCAAAGGTTAACTTCAAACTCTGAAGTGTGTTCTTTGATCCCAACCCTTTTATTTTATGAGGCTGCTGGCTTTAAAGTGGTTAGCTCTGGTCAAGGGATAAGGTGAGAGAGTGTGGTTGAACATTCAAAGAGGTATTTTGAAAACCCTTGGATATACAAAGCTAAGACATAGTTATTCCTTGTCTGTCACTGGCCCAAGCAAAACAACTCAAATGTTACATCTTACTGAATGTGGGCATATCAGTGATTAAAATGAAGCTATCTGGCCATAAACTCAAAAAGCATAAACTCCACACCATCATCTCTTCCTTGCCTGGTCCTATTAGGTATTCATTCCACCAGCTTTGTAGCGTCTGCCAGTTCAAAATGTCCTTCCGTTTCATTATTGAATACAGTGAGTGGGCTTTACCCCCAAATAAAACTATATCTCCAACAGTAATCCTGTGTTATTTGTGGAAATGACACAAACCAACCTCTCTTGACAATGTGCTTCTTTATAGAGCACAGATTAAAATCAGTTCTCTCATAAGGTGTTTGGATTTATTTTTGTTATCTAGATGACTGCAAAGCTTAGATTTTTTTTTTTTAAAGATCTTATTTTACTTATTTGACATAGAGAGAGAGAGATCACAATCAGAGAGGCAGGCAGAGAGAGAGGAGAAATAGGCTCTCTGCTGAGCAGAGAGCCTGATGTGGGGCTCGATCCCAGGACTCTGGGATCATGACCCGAGCTGAAGGCAGAGGCTTAACCTACTGAGCCGCCCACGTGCCCCCCAAAGTTTAGATCCTTTTTCTAACTTTCATCTTTTTCTCTATATTACTCCACTGATCTCAAGCTTAGTGCCATTGCAGACATGCCATTTTTACACAGTTCTTCAAGAATTTAAGATATACTGAAGTTCAGAGGGAAAGGTCATGGTTACCTCTAAGTTTCAAACAATCTAAAGATTCCTGATAAGTCTGCATCCTTTCCTGATAGGTACTTCCTTCCTGTCCTACCTTGCCACAAAGAATCAAATAACACTGAATTGAAAGGAAACCCACAGTCCCGTCTGGGTGAGGGAGGGACAAAGAAGATGGAGAAGCTTTGTGGGAACAAGAATATCCTGTTCAAGGCACCTGGGTAGCTCAGTGGGTTAAGCCTCTGCCTTGGGCTCAGGTCATGATCTCAGGATCCTGGGACTGAGTCCCACATTGGGCTCTCTGCTCAGCGGGGAGCCTGCTTCCCCCTCTCTCTGCCTGCCTCTCTGCCTACTTGTGATCTCTGTCAAATAAATAAAATCTTAAAAAAAAAAAATATCCTGTTCATCCGCTGGTGAAGAATCAAGGTAGACAGGGAGACACCAGGGCCATACCTGACCTATTCATTCTTGAGTCAGTGCCAACATTGTAGAGGTAGTACCTGCTTTTCAAATGACTGAGTTACCTAACAATTCATGGCCACTCTAGCAAAGTTGCCAAAGTTGGGTTTATCTGTGAGCTCGCTTTTCCCCCTATTGTCTTACCTTGAAATTCACCTACCCTGGGATTGGGGCAACTGCTCCCTAGGATGGAACCTCTTTTCCACCCAGTCCCTATTTCACATCTCATAGCAGAACCCATTTAGGACAAAGTAGGGAAGGATTGTATAAACCCACCAGGAGTTGGTCACTCTTCCCTCACTTCCTTAGGACTGTAAGTGTCCCTAGCCCACATTTAATCTCCTTACCAGTTCCCACAGGTCATGGTTCATCCTGGCCCCATATCTGAAATAGGATGTCTGGGGTCACCAGGTCTGGATTTTGAAGGGACCCTGCTCTAATTGTTGCAGACGACTTGTTCCTGATGTGGAAAAATTAGAACCACTGATTGTAACACCGTGCTTTGGGTACACGGAGTTTCGTGTCACTGGCTGCTAATTACTCGTGGATAACATTGTTTCTATACAAGGCTAAATGAATTCTAAGTTTCAACAGATTTGAAGCAAACTGGGTGGATACTTCTCCCGACCTTAAATTCTGACATTTAGACACATTTTGACATATTCCAGAAATTTAACTCTCTGAACACAAGAACACCTTGGTCACAATGGAAAGATTGACAATACTGAAGTTAACACCTTTATTTTCTTACCCTGTGAAGACTTAGATGTGGTCATGACCACATAGATGTACTCTGTGCATGATTCTCTACCACAAGTTTTCATTGTCTTTATCAAAAAGCATTGGGAAAACAACAACAGTGCTGTACCTGACCTCTAACCCACTATTATTCACTGCATCGGAAATATAATTTATCCTAGGGACGGCTGGGTGACTCAGTCGGTTAACATCTGCCTTCAACTCAGGTCATGATCCCGGGGTCCTGGGGCTGAGCTCCACACCAGGGCTCTGTGCTCAGCTGGGAGTCTGCTTCTCCCTCTCCCCCTGCTCCTTCTCACTCTTGCTCTCTCTCTTAAATAAATAAAAATCTTAAAAAACAAAACCAACTTCCACTGAATTCTTTATTTTGGTTATTGGATTTTTTGAAATTCTAGAATTTGTATTTCTTTTCACATGTCCAGGTATCTGTTCAAATTCCCTAAATTTGTTTATCTCCTTGAACAGAGTAAGCAGTTATTTCATAGTCTGTGTTTGATAGCTCCACCATCTGTGGCTCCTGTGGGCCTCTTTCCACGGTCTCCTGTTTCACTGGTTTTCTTAATATCTTGTCCCATATGCTTGGTTCCATTTTATTGTATTCAGGATATTGTATTAGCAAAATTACTCTAGAAACAAGTCAAAGTTTAGGGTGATGAAATTTTTTCTCCAGAGAGAGTTTTTGTCTGCTTATGCCAAGGGTTTGGGGAAATCACTACTTTGGGATCAACTTAATCTGATTTCAAGGTCTGGTATCATTGGAAGCCTAGATGCAATCTCCCGAGTGAGCCTTTCTATTTCTTCCTTCTGGCTCACCCCTATTCTTGGGGTACAAAAGACTGAGAGCCTCGATGCAATGTGAGAAGTCTACCACCCCCTGACAGGCCCAGACCCCTACTTCTGGAAGGCTGTCACAGTCACCCACCAGCCTCTGACCTGCCCCTCTCCACATTGCAAATGCCCCCAATGGAAGAGTGGCCTGTAGTACTGAGTCCGGTTCTCAGGGCCACTATCTTTTCAGTGGTCCTGGTCCAGTAATTCTTCAAACACATGTTAGCTCTCTGATGCCTCTGGATTTTTTAAAATACTTTGTCCAGCCTTTCCAGTTCCCCTCAGTCGGATGGTCATCCAAAATTACCCATCTACCATGATCAGGAAACGAGGTTACACTTAGGAGTTACCTGAGTAGGTTCACACATGGCACAGTAATGATATGGAAAATGCCAGTACACCCCTGTCCGCCTTTGACTCTGTGTTAAAAGAATTTTGTAGAAACAATTAGGCCTTGGAAAAATCAATTGCTCTCCCTAACAGGAGCTGCTGGTTTCTGTACTCCTCGCAGCAGGTTTCTATACTCACGGGCCACTTCTATCTGTGACAAAGCAGTTAATGATTTCATGAGTCTTTTCCTGAGAGCCAATGAGGGCCTATTATGCATAAGGGGAACAAAGAGGTGACATCCTCATTTTACAGGGACACTGAACGATTAATTAATTAGTTGACAGACCTCAAGAGAAACCCTAAGGTTCAGGTTTTCGCTTTCCTCTGCTTTTTCAAATTGCGTATTTTTCCCAAGGACATACAGGAATCTAATTTCTACTGTTTAAATGCCTTTATTTCCAATTAAACTGCAAAGGCAGAATAACAACTTGATATTTTTGGCTATTCGGGCAACAATATTTGGCAATTCTCTAGAAAAAAATACAAATGACCAGCAAGTATATAAAAATTTCATTAAACATAAAATAAATGCAAATTAAAACAAGGAGATACTTTTTCTATTAAAGTGGCAAAATATTCTTTTAACGATAATAAATACCCAGTGTTAGGAAGGTTTCAGAGAAATGGGTGCTCATCTACGCTGCTGGAGGAGGGTGGATTGGCACAGCTGTTTCTGAAGAATATGTGTCAATAATCCATGAAAACGTGCATATTTTACTTCTAATAATGTAGGAAATAATTACGAATGTGTATACAGATTTAACTATAAAGTCATACATTACATCACACTGTTTATAAGAAACTGGAGACAATCTAATAGTAGATTGTTTAAATAAATGATAAGACAGAAATATAATGGAATGCTAAAAACAAGGGTTTCCATGGATGGTTATCTGTTAACATGGGAAGTCATTATTTTGTCAAATGGAAAAAGCAAGTCGTAAAAGAGCACAGTATGATATTGTATTTATTTTAAAAAAATCATACATGTTTATATATACATTTAGAAAAACACTGAGAACCGGAGTTTCACCACACTACCAGAAGCAATCTCTGGATGGTGGAAATGAGGGATTAAAAAAATGTTGATACCCATTTTTGTGTTTATCTTCAGTGAACACATACTATTTCTGTGATTAAAAAAGGAAAGAGAAGTCAAAAATCTAATCTAAAAAAAAAAAAAAAAAAAAAAGCTTTGCTTAGGTTTTGGCTTGTGATTGAAGGGGCCATGTGCCCCTAGAGGCATCTACTTGGTTTTGTTCCTTGTGACCTGAGTGGATAATTCTCACAGCTGTTTTTCTGCAAATGCCATAATCACAGACATTTGACTGTCTAGAGAACAGTTCTCTCATTTTCAACTAGAGCTCACTGAGGCTATGACTGGGGAAGGAAGCCACCTTTCTAGAGTATGTTGGTTGCAAAACCATGCCCAAGGCCCACACTTTTTAGTTGGGGAGCCCTTAGAAAAGTTCTCGGGAGAAAGAAGGCAGAAGCAAGCAGAGAACAGATACAGAAGGAGGGGCTGTAGATTGTAAGGTTTCTGTTTAGTCCTTATTTCAATTCTAGGGTCTCCTCAGTCTTAGATGTAGGGCTTATGCAAGGACACCTGAGACCTGGTCACAGAAATTCCTAAGATGTTGAGTTATTTCAGAAGAGAAATGACAGAACAAGTGACAATCATACTGAAGGGTTAATCAGTCTGCTAACCTCGAACTGTTAGAGCAGTCCCCACAGGTATAGAGATAGTGGCATTTGGACAGAAAGTCTGTGTTCTGGGTTGGTACAAGGATTCCAAGTGAACCCAAACTCCGATGAGCACGCCTGGTAGGTTCAGTAAGTGATGACTCTATCCATCAGAGAAGTCTTTCCTAAGAACAAAGGAAAGAGTTACCTGCACAGATAAGACAAACCTGCAAAGTCACATACAATGTGGCAAGGGTCTCTCCCTCCTATATCCTGCATCCTCCACTCTGTTTCGAAGCCAGGGCTGAGTTTTCCTTGGGTTGGCTGCCAGATAGGGTTGAAAATCTGATTCTCAACTTACAGGCTATAATGTAAAGAGAAACCACAGCAAGATTTGAAGGGAAAAGGGGATATATTCATCTTCACAATATAAAGTCACTATCTACCTAGAGGCTCGGCTCTCGAACATGGTATTACAGGTGTGTCCAAAGTAATGTGTTTCTTAGTAGTAGCTTAAATTCCGAAGTCTGTAAATGCTACGCTTTTAAAAAGAATAAATTACTGTAGATAAAGTTAGTCATACGACAAAGTCACTCTCAGACACTTGTATGCTTTCTTGAATGAGATAAAAAGGTGGCATTTGAACTATTAGCACGAGCATCAGCTGTCATGTGTCATCTTGGCTGAAAGGCTGGATGTTGCTCTTACAGAGCAAGAAACAAGGGAGCCCAGGGTCAGGGAGCCCAGGCGGGATGCCAGGGATGAGAAATTTGTGGACGTGTTCCAGTGTCCTGCAACTGGGGGAAAAGGGAGATCAGGAGATGTTGGGCTGCAAAAGTGAGCTACGTAAGAGGCATGCACTTGAGGCTTTAAGGAAGCGGGGTCAGCCCTATGCATGTTCAGCCGGACATGTCGATACTCATCATTTACATCAGTACAGAGAAGGCGGCGCCAGAGCAAGGACACCAGCTTACATGCCAGTTCTCGAGGGGAGTAGCTTTTATAGTCGCGGCTGGAGCTGCGTTCCCCTCCCCTCAGTTACTCATGGGAAACCCGTTCCAAGGCCACATAGAAACTGTTCTTGTCATCCAGGCAATGCCAGCCAATTGGTCCGATTTCACAGTCTGCGCACACCAGGAACTTGATGTTGCCCACGTCCTTGGTGAAGCCCACGTTCTCAAAGATGAACATGTCATCAACCAGCCAGTGCTCCTGGAGGAGATCGCCATCAGGATTGCTGCCGTCAGCCAGAGCGGGCTTCTTTCTCATGGAGGGAAGGAAAAGCTGCAGTGGAAGAGAACACAAGGAATTCGCAAGCTGATTGGCCCGGTCCCATCATCACCACATTCCGCGATACTTCACATGCTCCCTGGCAGTTTCTTGGAATGAAAACGAAATGAGCAGCCCAATCACTAAGTTATGGACCAGGATGTTGGGTGGCTCTTCTGTTGCCTCTAGTCCATGCCTGGATTTCTTAAGACACATGAAAGAGGTAATGTGCTGTTGTCATGTGGCTTTACTGCTGTCCTTACCGTGGTCTGTAAGGCCCTGCCGGTTCTTAATCTCCATCTAGGTCATTCTGCTTCAGCCACACTGGCCTTCTTGCCTTGCCTTGCCTTCTGCAGAAAGGGTGAGTGTGCTCTGCCCTCCGATCTTGGCAAGGCTGGCTCCATGATATTCAGCTCAAATACAACCTCTTCAAGGAGGCCGTCTCTGACCAAACAATCTCAGTTAGCTTCCCATACTGCCCACTGTATTTTATTTTTGAAAATACCTTTCCTGAGGTATAATTGACACATACACGGCACATACTTGAAGTGTATAATTTGATTCATTTTGGCCCATGCAAATACTAATAAACCATTACCAGCAAGATGACAACTGTATTTGTCACCCCCAAAAGTTTCTTTATGCCACTACCTCTTTATGGCTTATCATTCTCTGAAATTACTAATTTATTGGCTTAGTTATTGACCATGGGTCTCCCTCCACTGGAATGTAGGCCCCAGGAAAGCAAGGAGCTCACCTTTCCTGTTCACTACTATAACCCCGGTGCTCAGAATAATAATGGATACAGAGCAGGAACTCAAATATTTATCAAAAGGATAAATACAGGATATCTGGCTTTGCTCTATTCTAATAGTGTTATGTATATGCTGGATTTATCTTACAAAAAGAGCACTAAAAAGGAAAATCTAGTTCTAGAATTTGGAATATCATCCCAAGGATCTTTGTACCCATTAATCAACATGGCTTCCTGATCATTAGGACAAAGCTTCACGCACATACACACCCTTTAATTTTTTCTCTATGGTTAATTTATACACCTTGAGCTGCCCCAGCGTACACGAAGACACGATGCCAGCAAAGCTTGTTACCACTCTGCCCCTCATCATTATGGCTGCTGCCAGTGCACTCATTTTCCACCCCAGGGTATACTTCTACTGCATCCCCAAACTCTAACTGGATGGCCTCAGTGAGCTAGTCTGACATTAGCAAGCAGAATAAAAGCAAAAAACCATTTTTTTAAAATAAATTTTAAAAAACCCACCAAAACCGTACTGACATTAGTCCAAAAGAGACAAATGCTTTGGGACAGATGAACAAGTCTCTTCCTGAATGCTACAGTTAGGGAACCACAGAGCTGCTGGTCTGTATTCAATACCCTGGAGTTTGCACCTCTGAAGTCTGGACCAGATTCTAGCCAGTGGCTGGCCCTAATAGGGAGGAGGGAGCACTGAAAGGAGGAGGGAGCACGGATCCAGAACACTTCTACTCCCCATCTCCCAAGCACAGGTATCTGTGCACTACCCTATGGTGTGTCACCTGAGACAGCATTTGAGGATGTCACAAAAGAGGACAGTCCCTCCTCCTCTTACATTGTCATTCCAGTCGCCCTTTTCACCTCATCTAATGTTTAAATGAGTCCCCAGTGCTTTGTTTTACCCTAAGTGAAAATGGGAACAGGCAGAAGCGAAGAGGAATCAAAATTCAGGGACCGGGAAACCTGGGTTCCAATCCTAGCTCTATCTCTCTGTGGGCCTAAACTTCCCTACAAGTATTTCTGGCCTATAGTGTAGGTGTGAAAGCAACATCTTAACTAAACAGAAGGCGAGTGAAACTTTAAGGGGAGAAATACCAAAGACTTTTTAAACGTCAGTTTAAAAAATGTCTAACAAAGGAGTACCAGCTTCCCTCCCACTGTCTTTTATTTATTTTTTTATAATCCCAAACACCTCTGTAGTCCCTTTTGAGTAGTGATTTATTTTTTATTTCTTTTTTTAAAGATTTTATTTATTTATTTGACAGACAAAGATCACAAGTAGGCAGAGAGGCAGGCAGAGAGGGAAGAGGAAGCAGGTTCCCTGCCTCATTCAAGGGGTCAGACTGGGTCCTGTTCCCTTTCTTTCTCAACATACCCATTTTTATTTAAATCCCGTAAGTCAGACCCACAAGACTAGACTTATTTATGTGTACGTTGTACACGTATCTGTGTGGATCCCAACCCATTCTCTGCAGCGCTCAGGGCTACTGCAGGGTCAAGTTCTGGGATCTAACATTTGGAAAACAATTAGGCTTTCTAGACAGACCACTGGGGTGGAAATCAAGATATTACTATCTAATTTGAGGCTGCTAATTCAGCTGGTTGGGGGCCAAAGTCGCCAGTTCCCTCCCTGACCAGGGGGGTTAGCTGCTCAAGACCCTAGCCAGTACCCTAATCCTGGACCATCTCTTCAAAGAAATGTAGAACATCCCACCTCAGTGAGTGAGAGTGTCAGCAGAACTCCTTTTGGTTTTTCAAGAACTGCTAACAGGGGAACCTGGACAGCTCAGTCAGTTAAGAGTCTACCTTTGGCTCAGGTGATGATCCCAGGATTCTGGGATCCAGCCCCACCCTCAGGCTCCCTGATCAGTCTGCTTGTCTCTCTCCTTCTGCCCCTCTCTCTGCTCGTGTGTTCTATCTCCCAAATAAATAAAATCCTTTTTAAAAGAGAGAGAGAGAGAGAGGGGCGCCTGGGTGGCTCAGTGGATTAAAGCCTCTGCCTTCAGCTGAGGTCATGATCCCAGGGTCCTGGGATCGAGCCCCACATTGGGCTCTCTGCTTGGCGGGGAGCCTGCTTCCCCCTCTCTCTCTGCCTGCCTCTCTGCCTAATTGTGATCTCTGTCTGCCAAATAAATAAAAATAAAATCTTAAAAAAAAAAAAAAAGAGAGAGAGGAGCACAAGCGGGGGGCGGGCAGCAGGCAAATCTTTGAAAAGGGAAAAAAAACTGGTAAGTACCCTTTCATTTCATTAGTTTTTAAGATTTTATTTATTTATTTGGCAGACAGAGATCACAAGTAGGCAGAGAGGCAGGCAGAGAGAGAGGAAGGGAAGCAGGCTTCCTATGAGCAGAGAGCCTATTGTGGGGCTTGATCCTAGGAACCTGGGATCATGACTTGAGCCGAAGGCAGAGGCTTAACCCACTGAGCCACCCAGGAACCCCGGTAAGTACCCTTTTAAAAATACTTTCTTTCTCTTTGTAAAAATCCATTCTCATGGTAGAAAACTTGGCAAGCATGCTACATACAATATAGATGAAAATAAAAACTGTTACAATACAGAGTAAACTTCTGGTAACTTTTTTGAAATTTTCTCCCTTCTGTATTTGTGGTGGTTTTAAAACGTGCACAAATTCTTTGACAATCTTTCCACCAGAAGGCGGAGTCCATGCCTCTCTCCCTGAGCCTGGGCAGCCCGCTGTGCCAGTCCGGATGAGTCAAGTGTGAGGGAGGTGACAGGCTAGCTTAGAAAGGGCCAGGCTGTTTTTGGCGGTTTCTCTGGGAACACTTGCTCTGGGAGCCTTCAGCTTCTATGTAAGAACTGCAGCTTCTGAGGCCCCCATGGGGAGAGAGGCCCCTGGAGCCTGTCCCAGTGCTCAGGTGTGTGAGTCTTCCCAGGCCACAGGCAGACAGGTGAGGAAGGGAGCGTTTCAGATGGCCCTTCTGACTGCACACGAAAGACCCCAAGTGAGAAACGTCTACCTAGGCTCAGTCAACTCCCCAAACTGTAAAGCAAAATAAATGTTAGTAATTTAAGTCACCAGTCTTGGGTGGTTTTGTTACGTAGCAACAGAGAACTAGAAAGTTGCCTAACATAGTTGAGATGCATGTGCCATTCTAATTCCTAATTTTTTGTGATCAACTATATATACATACCATAAAACTTAGCAATTTTTAAAAAGACTGTATTTATTTCAGAGAGAAAGAGAGACCAAGCGTGAGCAGGAGAAGGGGGAAGAGGGACAAAGAGAATCCTCAAGCAGGCTCCCTGTTGAGCGTGGAGGCTGATGGGGGTTGGGGATGGGGTTTCCCAGGACCTTGAGATCATGACCTGAGCCAAAATCAAGAGTCAGACGCTCAGCGCTCAACTAACTGAACCATCCAGATGCCCCTAAAACTTACTGTTTAAGTCATGTTTTAGTGTGTGGTTTAGTGGCATTAAATATCATATATGTTGTTATTGTAACCATCACCCCCATCCACCTCTAGAATTTTTTCACCTTGGCACTTGGTACCCATTAAACACCAACTCCCCATTTTCCAGCCCATGGCAACCACCGCTGTGCTTTTTGTCTCTGTGAATCTGACTACCCTTGGTACCTCATAAAAGTGGGATCATATAGTCGTTGTCTTTTTGTGACTAGCTTATTTCACTTAGCATAATGTCCTGATTTTTAAAACGTTTAATCAGTTTTAAAGTTTATTAAGGTAATTATAGGTTCACATGTAGTGAAGAAATAATACAAAGACATATATACTATTTCTATTTAAGAAACAATACAGAAATTCCATGTACCCTCTTTTTGGTAATACAGTTTCCCCGATGGTAATATTTTGCAAAACCAGATTATAAAATCACAACCAGGACATCAACACGGATACACTCGCTGCTTTCATTCAGATGTCCCCAGTTTACTTGGACTCCTTTCTGTGCGTAACGTGTGTATATAGAGTTCTGTCAATCTTCCCCTAGGTAAGTTCATGTCTCCACCACCACAGTCAAGACACCAGAGGAGGATCCCTCCCATCACCTTTTTAACCAGACCTCCCAAAGCCCCCGGCCCCCTGTTCCTAACCCCGGCAATCACTCGCCTGCTCTCCATTTCTAAAACTCAAAAGCGGCACAGAAATGGAATCATATAGTATTTCACTCAGCAGAATTCCCTGGAGATGAGTCCAAGTTGTATGCATACTAGGTCACTCCATTGTCGTTCACTGCAGCGGATGGCTGACCAGTCTCTTTAGTCATTCCCCTCTTGAAGGACACCTGGGCTGTTTCCAGTTGGGGGATATTATGAATAAAGGAGCAATGGACGTTCATGTACAGGTTTTTGTGTGAACATAGGTTTTCATTTCCCCAGGATACAGGTCCCACAGTGTACTGGCTGGGTCGAGGATTAAGGACGTGTTTTGCCTCAGAAGAAAGTGCTCTTGGGTGCGCTCTCAGGTCCTCTGCTCTCATATTCTTCACCAGACACTGCTCTTACCTCCTCTCTCTGAGTTAATCCTCCACTGTCCACTCCAGCCACGAATGTCCCACTCCAAAAAATGGAACAAAGGAAATTACCCTCTTCTAACATCATCACTCTTTCCTACATTCTCAAACTTTGGTGTTTCCCTTTTCTCTGTCTTCAAAGAAATAAGGCTCTTGGCCGAGGACACCGCCACCAACTCCTGGGTGCTGCCCATTCTCTGACACTCCTCCTACTTCTGGATGGGGAATGGGAACCAGTGCTCTTCTTGCTTCCAAATTATTACTCCTACATCCTCACATCCACCTTTGCTCCTTTAAGGTTTCTGCCATCTGGTGACCGGTCACAGTCATCTGAGGTGGCCTCGTCACCCTGTAGTATCCACAGCTGACTGGCACCTGGCTTAGTTTCCAAAAAGGAAACTTTTTGATTCCACATCCTACCCTCACTGATAGGCTTCTACCCCGCAAGGGGATGAGTCCTCCCCAGAGCTCCCTCACCTTCTCTATTCCAATCCCCTCAACTCCATCTGGCCTCACTTCTTGCCAGTTTTATTACATCCTGTGTTCTGGCCAAGTTGAACTTTTTAGTTCTTCAAACATACCATACTTCCTCTAACAACAGCGAAACATCACACTGCTGTTCCCTCCATCTCTGTTCGGCTTCATTATAATTTCCTCTGTCATCAATTTTAGATAAGATTTCAAGAAGTACCAAATTCAAGGGTATGAACATTTTATATGTAAAACCGAACCAGTTATACGGGCACCTGGGTGCCTCAGTTGGTTAAGCGGCTGCCTTCAGCTTGGGTTGTGGTCCTAGGGTCCTGGATCGAGCCCCACGGCCGGCTCCTTGTTCAGCGGGGCGCCTGCATCTCCCTCTGCCTCCTGCTCCCCCTGCTTGTGCTTGCTTTCTGCCCTCCAAATAAATAAATAAAATCTTCAAAAAAAATTAAAAAAAAAAAGATTAAAAAAAAAGATTTTATTTATTTATTTGACAGAGAAAATCACAAGTAGGCAGAGAGACAGTGATGGGGGAAGCAGGCTCCCCACTGAGCAGAGAGCCCAATGCGGGCCTCGATCCCAGGACCCTGAGCAGAAGGCAGAGGCTTAACCCACTGAGCCACTCAGGCGCCCAAAATAAATAAAATCTTAAACATTACAGGACTTACAAAGAACACATGTTGCACCAAATAAATAAATAAAACAGTAAATAAAATATAAAAAAAAAATAAAATCTTAAAAAAAATCCCAAAGTTATAGGACTTACAAAGAACACATGCTGCACCACCAGTGGCATACTAATCCATTCTCTCCCTGCTAACTCATTATTTACACTGGGCTAATAGCTTTTGTTCACTAATTTATTTAAATTTAATTATCTACTATTATCTTATGTGCACGGTGTTTTTTTTTTCTTTGAAGATTTTATTTATTTATTTGACAGAGAGAGAAATCACAAGTAGGCAGAGAGGCAGACGGAGAAAGAGGGGTTAGGAGGCTCCCGGCTGAGCAGAGAGCCTGATGTGGGGCTCAGTCCCAGGACCCTGAGATCATGACCTGAGCGGAAGGCAGAGGCTTAACCCACTAAGTCACCCAAGCACCCCTATGTGCCCAGTCTTAAGTGTAGGAGATACGCAGGTGGGATACTTGAGGTGTCCATCCCATCTGAAACAGGATTCGAGTGGGAAACTGCGTTCCACCCAGTACCCTGGTAAAGCGTGTAGGTCACGGGAGGCATCTGTCACATTCCCTACACTGAAGTTGTTTCGGAAGCTCCCCCTGGAGCGGAGAGGCCGCCCGACGTCTGGAAGAGCGGCGGTGCGGCGCGATGCGGGCCGGGAGTGCCGGTACACCGGGCGCCATCGGGCCGCTCCGCAGCGTGCGTCCCGGCGCGCCGGGCCCTCGGAAGCCGGCGGGCTCGGCTCAGCCCCGCACCGCACCGCACGCGGAGCAGCAGCGTCCACACCTAGCGCCGGGCTGGGGCCCGGGGTTGGTCGTCCCGGGAGACCGGCCCCGGGCTGCGCTCCTGCCGCAACTCCGGCGCGGACAGCCTCGGGCGGAGCCGGGCCGCGACTAGGGGCGCGGTCTCCGGAAACGCGTGCGGGGAACGGGACTCCAGCCGCCGCGGCCCCTGTGAAGACGTGCGGGTGTGAGCAGCCTCCAACCTGCCTCCCTACCTGTCGGCGGGAGAAGAGAGCGGTTCCTGGCTGCAGCACCCGGGAGCCACAGCGTTGGCACAGCACCGCCTTCCGGTTTCGGCCCTCGGCTGACACTAAGTCGTTCAGCGGCTCGGCTGGTTCCATCGCCGCTACCGCCACGGCTCCCTCGGCCACGGCCGCGCAGGCGCTCTCTCTGCGGGATCTTTCGGAACTGCGCTGGCGCGGCTTTCCGAGACGGGGCGGGGAGCGTGCGACCACTCCCGCTCTGCGCAGGCGTCCGCTTCCCCCGCTCTGGATTCTACTGCGCAAGCGCCCCATTCATCGCTTAACCTGAGTGGTTAGGTGTCCGCCGGCTTTGTGACAGGGTCACTCACTTCCTGGGACGTGACAAATCCTCTCTTCATACTCACCTGGTCACCGGCCTTCCCTTATTATTGAGTAAAACCCGGGTAGGGAATTCACTAAAGTTGACCAAATCTTTGTTTACTGAAATTTTTAAATTTAGTCTTAGGAACGAATGGGGACGTTTCTGGAGGCGATGTGAAGGGAATCCGGGTCACACTACACATCAGCAAGTCTTATCCACATTAGTTCCTTCAGTAAAAGACCATTTAGAGGGACATGTACCTTTTTGGTGTTGGAAAATGATGCCTGGAAACTTTAATTGCTGGTCTCTGTTCTGATCATACTATGTGGCAAAACACCATGTTGATATGCTTTAGAAACAAACCTATTGAATTATCACATTTCCTTATGGGGTTGTCACTAATTACTCCCAGGGCACAACTGAGAAAGGTAAAGATCAGAAGGGTTACTTTCCAGGGTCAATAGATCCAGGCATGCCTCTAAAGCCACTGCTCTTGGTCATTACACTATACTTTCCTGTTCCATTTGATTAGATCTCTAGCTTGCCCGTTTTAGTGCATTAGGCCATGGATATCCTGAAATGGCAATGGAAGGAGAATATGAAGGGGAACTAAGCTATTGATTAGGTAATGTCTAAGCTACTACTTACCTACCTACCTACCACCATCTGCATGTTTTTCTTCTTCCTCTTTGTCCTTCAGTAATTCAACATTTAGTGAGTCGTTCTGTAATATAATTACACCCTGACAATACAATGGTAATAGGGACCCTATATTTGAGAACATAGTCTAAACAGGAAGTCATACTCTAAACCAATGACATGTGATAAAGACTACCATGGGAACAAAGTAAATGGAAGACAGGATTAGGGAATAATCCCCACCTGGAGAGTCAGAAAGGCTTTTCCTAGGTGACATTTGAATAAGGCATCTGAATGTGACTAGGATTTTTTTTTTGAAAAGCAAGATTATTTCAGATAGAAGAACAGCAGAATACCTGAACAAAGTTGAGAACAAATTTAAGAACGGTTAGTAGTTCACTGAACTACCTATACCTATGGGAAGAGAGAATAGTAGAGGGAAGTAAGATCAGAATGGTAGAGCGGGCCCAGAGCACCATGGGTCTAAAGTCATGTGAAGGAATTTGAACTTTTTTAAGATTTTATTTATTTTTTGACAGACAGAGATCACAAGCAGGCAGAGAGGCAGGCAGAGAGATAGGGAAGCAGGCTCCCTGCTGAGCAGAGAGCCCAATGCAGGCTTGATCCCAGGACCCTGAGGATCATGACCTGAGCCGAAGGCAGAGGCTTTAACCCACTGAGCCACCCAGGCGCCCCAGGAATTTGATCTCTGTAATATGGGCAATGTGAATCAATAGAATTTTGGGCTAGGAATAACTTTGATATTCTCTGAAAATTTGCTGTATGTGAGGTATTGTAATGATCCTAGTTGTACTTTAAGGAAGATCACTGATGACAAAATGGAGGGTTCTAGACTGGAAGAGTATAGGTAGAACTATCAGGAGGCTCTTACTCCAGGAGTCTGGGCAAGAGATACAGGCCTGAACTATGCAGTAGCAGAGGGAATACAAATATAGGAATGTATTTGGAACTTTAAAAGATAAAATCATGTAATCTAGAAATGAACTGGATGTCTGTATTGTAACAGGGGTGACACAAGATAAATGATAGATCTCTGAGACAGGATAACTAAGTGGCTGGCTGCCATCTAAGAGAGCTAGAAAAACAAGAAGAGCCCCTAAATTAGCGGTACCTCTGTACATGCATGAGCAAAGCATGTAAGACTGGGAGGAGTGGAAAGAGAGCAAAGAGTTTCAGTTTCTGCAGAATATTTAGTTGTGGCTGCCATATATCAACTATTTGGGAATTTGGTCTGAAACTCACAAAAGTCAGCAAAGATAGCGATCAGTTCTTTACCCCCTCACTTCCCTGCCTCCCCTGGATCTCTTCCTGATAGGAGGAGTCACATGTTTCATAGCTGTGGTCTGATCAGCAGGCACAATCCATCTGCTGAGGAAAGGTTGGCAGGCTCCTTTAGAGAAAATAACTTCCTCTTTGGCTCCCCCTTCCCTTTTCTCTGGAAATATCAGGATTTTTTGCAGTGTTGCAGGGCAGGCCTTCCGGATAGCTGTTTATGTCACGTGACATAACTCTAAGCGAAGAGTGAATAAAATCCTTAAAGTCAAGAGGGTACGTACTAAATGAGCTCAAAACTGAGTCCTCTTTATTCTGTTTGGCTTTCAAGTAAACTCCAAGTATGAGAGGAGTCGATACCTATGCCATTTTTGTATAAATATTTTACCCACAAGGGTAAAGGGGTAGGCTACCTCTTACCCATGTCTAACAGAGAAACACAGAAGAGCTAGTTGGCTAACACGTAAGGTGAACGGGAAGAAGAGAAAGGACATACAGCTGACTGCCTGCTCCCCCAATATCTGCAAGACAGTGCTGGTCAGCCATAAACTCTCTTACAGGCATTTGAGATAATTGATTTTTAATATTTTCTTAAAAAAATACAAAGGAAATGAACTCTTGAGGTCAATACAACTCAGGGAAAGAGGAAAAAATGGAATTTTGGAAAAAAGGGAAAGTGCATCCTTGTTTAGGTTATCACATCCCCAACACTCCCAATACTCACAAAATCAAGAATTTCACTCCAAAACACAGGGGAGCCTTGCATGGTGGCTCAGAAATGGCGATACCAAGTACTGGAACTAACAAAAGGATTTTGGTTATTCTTGATTATTCTGTCCTGGGATGAGTAAAATCCACTCTAAGGACAGGTGAGGGAACCTTCTAGTAGGAAAAGCACTCATTGTACCAAACACAGCAGTAAAAAAGCACTCCTCAGTAGGAGTGTGCCCTTAAAAGAAACGGGGCCGTAATCGGGCAGCTGCATCTGTAGGCTGCTGCACCCCACCCCATCCTCAAATAAATAGTAACGAAGTATAACAGTGTAGTAGTATTTGATTCAACACAGAAAGAGTATCTCACCCACTCAGGGCAAACCATGCCATGGATAGGCGAGCCCTGGCAGGAAATAAGACGATTGTAAAATCACAGGTACTTCTAGTTTGTTCCCAGGCGTACCGAACTCCCACATTTATTCCATATCTGTTCACCCCAACATTTGTTCACTCTTATTCTGTCAGTCTCCAGTGCCAAGATGCAAACCATTCTAGTTCAGAAAGACCATGGGGAAATAAAAAGATCCTTCCAATAATACACCCTTGTAAGTCTTCCAGGTTATACTTCAGTGGTGTTCTAGGTTCATTCACATTCCATCAAATTCCATTGACTTCCCTTACTCTAAACCCAGTCTTGATAGACCAACCCTGTCCCTTAAGGAAGTGCCAGGTCTCTCCCCAAGCCCCCCAGATTTTTACAGGGGGCTTTTCCCTTTGTTATTCTCCAGAATAGAATTGTGTTGCCCCTAGCTACTGTAGACTAGGAAAGATATTCTTGGAAAACAAGACTTGGGTTTTACCCAGCTTACTCAAGTTTGTATCCTTCCAATCATCTACACGCTGGATACTGCCCACATCTAGTAGGTCACACTCACCGTCCTTCTCTGCAATACATGAGGCACAACAGATACAGATTCTCCTAAGCACACGAGAGTGCGCTCTACACCAGAAGGAGAGGTGATCTGGCCTCTCAGATCCATTCGGTGTGCACGGTCTTCCCTTGAGTGTCTGTTACCCACCCTCCTCAGGGACAACTACCAGCGCAAGGCGGAGTGTGTGTCAAGTAAGTACAATCATCACTGCGCTGGTGCTTGTAATCATCCTGTGCACACAGTGAGAAATAGATATTCTGGAAAGGATCCTTGACTCTCCCATAAACTGTCCCCCTTGGACTGGTCACTAGCTCTGGATGGTGCTCCAAGAGTGGTCACTTCTCACGAAGAACACACACGCCAGCATCACAGCGCTGGGTTCCCATGGATGTCACTACTTCCCAGTTGTCGATGATAGGGTCATAGCACTCAATGCTACTCAGCAGGGAATTCCCATCATATCTGAGTGGGGAAAAAGCAAAAGAAGAAAATAAACTTTCTCTTCCTGTCCATACAGTCCTACATTAAAGGCTGCCACTGGTGAGGTCTCCCCCAACCTAAAGTCTGTCTTGATCCAAGGATTTGGATCGGATCGTTTGGTCCTGGATGCATGACGACTTTAGTCTGGCTTCCAAATCCTTACCCCGCAATAGCATAAAGTCTCCCTCGAAGCACCGTGGCCCCTACATAGCATCGTGGAGTGGTCATACTAGTGACAGTTGTCCAGGAATCAGTGCGAATGTTGTATGCTTCCACAGAAGAAAGGTGGGCTGTACCATCAAATCCCCCTACCACATAAATATGGTCATTCAGCAGGGCTACTCCTGCACCTGGGGGGAAAAAGGCATAGCAAGTGAATACTACTAACCTTAGGATCAGAATTCTAAAAACAAAACATGATCACTGATGGCTAGCTGAACTCTAAGGTAGTTGAGGGATGTGGACTAGGGCCAGAGAGGCCTAGAATTATCTAGTTGCCTTTATTATAGTGATAATAAAGATAGTGATAAAAGATAGGCAAAGAGGAGAACAGAACCTCACTCCTTTTACTCTAAGTGTACAGTGAAGAAAGAACTTTAACTCTGATTTGTTGATCCCCCATTTTTGACTGCAGCACCACTGCATAATGTAAAGATTTGTCAGCATGGTCTACTGTCCTTTCTCTTAGATATGACTGGTCTTACCAGAGCGTTTGGTGGCCATTGGTGTAACATTAGTCCAGTGTCCTGTGTGGGGATCATATTTCTCAACTGAATTTAAGATATTCAGGCCATCATATCCTCCTGAAAAAGCAGAGAGCATTTCGGAAAGAATGGGAAATCCTCAAGCCCATTCCCAGGCTGCCTTTCTCTTGGGTGTTTCAACTAGTTCTTTTTAATTTCAGTTCTT